TCGAAGACGAGATTTGAGAGAACTAACGATTAAAGGTAGAACCTCCAAAGCAAAGATGCCCAAAGATCCGAGGCCTTGAAGCCGCAGAAACTCTAAGTTTAGTTTCAGGGCTACAGGATGTCTACGGCGTACTATGATTGTGGTTTATAGGATTTACGTAGGGTGCTCAAGGTTCATTATGTTGTTGGCCTTAGAGGTATGCATATAATATATGGGCTTATTATGGCTTGAGGGTTTAGGGTTGAGGGTTTATGGTTGAGGGTTGAGGGTTTAGGGTCGAGGGTTTGGGGTTGAGGGTTTAGGGTTGAGGGTTGCGGGATTTAGGGTTGAGGGTTTCGGGTTGAGGATTCAGGGTTTAGGGTTGAGGGTTTAGGGTTGAGAGTTTAAGTAGGGTTGAGGGTTTTTAGGGTTGAGGGTTGAGGGTTTAGGGACCTAGAACCCTAAAGCGAGCATCCGGAAGGACCCGATCTCTCTGGGGGAGGACCCGGCACAGCCCCTGAGCTGCAGTTGGGGACCAGGATTTAGGGTGTCAGGTTGAGGATTTGGGAGGGGTTAGGGTTTAGGGTTTAATTTTAAGGTAAGATGGTTTAGGGTTTAAGGTTGGGAACTTAGGGTTAGTAAAGGCTGTAGACTGGCACTGCAGCTCTCGGTTGTCGCTTCTAAGATCCCGCCTTCTGGTCTTCAGTGCTTCGACCCTATACCCTACCTAGACCCTAAAGAACCTACCGTTTTAAGGATTTAGATAGGGTAGCCAGAAAAAAAGAACCCTAAAACGGGAGGTTCTTAAGGGTCCAGGTAAACCCTAAACTGACCCCACACCCCTCGGAACTGAATGCACGGCTTTTGTCTCTCTCTCTCTCTCTCTCTCGAACCCTCAACGTCTAGGGTTTAGGGGTTAGGGTTAATGCCGATGCATGTATTCAGCCCCTCGTAAGGGATTTTGTATGTTTGTTGTATGATGAACTGGCTGCAGGCAAGTAAGCTGCACATCAAGCACACCGAAATCTTCCAAAGTGCTCGGACCTAGCAGACCCGGTTTAGGGTGTTTCGGGTTCAGGGTTTAGGGTAGGAGAAGCGACCCGGAATGATGCTTTGCATCTCGAAAGGCTCTACACCTTAAGCCGTTTGTCCATCTTCAATCCCCCGGACTGTCCTAGCCCGATATCTCAAAACCCACCCTGGAATAGGTCGTTCAGTTCTGCTTCGGTGTCAGGGGGCCGCACGGAATCTCTCGCAATTATGCTTACCTTCGCGCTTCAGACTACGATGAGTGTGATTGCACCAAGGCTCCGGCAGATGGCCAAATATCTACAAGCCTTGGCAGGTCGTCTGGAGCACCGACATCACGCTCTTCGGCAGGTTTAAGCTTAAGTATGGATTTCGGGGTTCCGGACCTGAAGTGCCCCTAGACCCTAAACCCTAAACCGAATGTCCCGCTTCCGATTCGAACTGAAAGTTAGCGGTTCTGCAGATTGGGTTCAAGCGGCAGAACCTTGCCCCCTCCTGACGAAGAAGCTGCTTCAACCGGTCTTGTTGCCAGTCAATACCCGAGACATCATACGAGTCTTCAGTAGCAGCAGCATGTAACAAGTGCATTTACGCAAAACTGGCCGTTATCGCATGACTGGCAGCGACCGCTGCCACATGTGTGCTTGCACAGGACTACAATCACGGCGACCACGACAAGGTCGGCAACCGCTTCTGTTACGCTCGTTGTTGCCACTGCTATGTCGAGCATTCACTACCACCACGACGGAGCAGGAGCAGTATGAGCAACAGGAAGAGGGTGTTGCTGCTGATTGGGGCCGGATGGACGGATGGAGATGGGGTTGTGCGGTAAACGAAAAGTTAGTGAGGATGATGATGGTGGCAATGGCGATGGCATGATGCTACTGCGGTGATTGTTGAGGCCAGGAGTTTTGCGGGTTCCTCGAAATATGCTTTGACATGACAGGGGGAGGGCTCCCCCTGAATGTTGCAAATCTCTCTTTGGCTTCGAAAGCAGTAGAAACCCAGCTGCCCATGTCATTAATTAGGGTTTAGGGTTTAGGGTTGAGAGTAGCTGCTACAAACCGCATATGTAGTGCCTAGAACCCACCAACCGCCCAGGAACCCAGACAAAAAGGAAATCCTTCTAGGTAACTGGACTCTTATGAGGTGAGTTTAGATTTTAGATTTGATGTGAGTAATTTGGTGCATTTGAGCTGAGCAGCCGGACTGCCAGTGCCGTGCCGAAGAAAAGCGCACGACGATGTGGGACGCATGTGACATACCACCGCGGATTTAGGTTCATGTAGCAGGAATAGTAGTCGTCGTCGTCTTCGTCGTCGTCGTCGTAGTCGTAGTCGTAGTCGTAGTAGTAGTAGTAGTAGTAGTAGTAGGAGCAGCAGCAGCAGGAGCAGCAGCAGCAGCAGCAGCAGCAGGAGTAGTAGTAGTAGTAGTAGTAGTAGTAGTAGTAGTAGTAGTAGTAGTAGTATCATTATTATTGTTATTATTATTATTATTAGTAGTAGTAGTAGTACTAATAATACGCGTTATACGGTTTAGAGTCTAATTGAAACATCCCGTTCAGGTCGGCCTTCCGAAGTGTTCGGACGGCATCCTCCAGCTCGACGGAGTCTACGAGGCCCATGCGGTGTGCCTTTTTGCGATTTGAGTCGGGGTTGAGGGATGTTTCGGGTTTATTTGGGTTTAGGGGATTTCGGGTTTAGGGACAGGGCCTTACAGGGTCTAAAGGCATTTCGGGCTTGAGCTTTGGCCGCGCTTTGGCCGCACTGCTTTCGCCGCCCGGTCAGAAAATTCTCTCTTGAAAGCCTATGGCCGCAAGAGATTTCATTCCCGGCAACGGGGCTCTGCTAGGAAGGCCCGGTCTGAGAAGATCTGGCTATTGGCGTGGCACTTCCTGGGCGCGGAGCGCTGTAGTTCGACCATGTTCGACCTCCACCCCAAAACTCACATCCCCAACCTCCTTAACGTAGGACTCCGTCAGGTGAAGAAGCCGGAGGAGGTCCTCGTGGAGGGGCCTTCGTGCCTAGTGACGGGGAGTGGGAGCCTGAGAGCTGGGAGAGGCCCAGGGTGAAGATGTGGGCCGCCCTGTTCTCGAGGTGCCGAGCTGCACCTTTGGGCTCCCGTCCGCTTCCAGGGCAGCCTGGTCCTCGCGGGGCAGCTGAATGTAAAGGCTGCCGGCGGCGGCGGCAGGGTCAACGCCAACGCCCCTTGCGTCGCCATCGAGGGCAACTTTACATTGCACCCCGAAGCTCGCCTCAGCATTCAGGGCTGCCAGAATCTGGGTGAATTTAATCTGGCTGTCTTGACAAGGGGCGCCTCTGACAAAGGGCATGCAGGCAAAGGAGGCTGCCTCCACATTGGCGGCGATGCCGATCTTCTGGGCGGCCAGTTGCTTCTGCATGAATGCAATGCAAGAAAGGGGCTCGGAGGCGGCATGCACGTCAAAGGCCGGACCGGCATTTGCTGCTTTGACCTAGGAAAACGCCGTCCTCGAACGCTTGCGCGTGAAGAGCTCTGACACACATTCATGCTGCTAATGCCAAGCTGAGAGTTTCTGCGCAGCTGTGACTGTTGCAGGCAGACTGGAAAGTCGGAGTGCGACGATCGATGCAGGAAGATGCGATGCAATGTATGGAGGTAGGGAGTGACAGCCCAAATACTTCGGAAGTTTGTTAGGTTTCCAAACTCGAGAGCGGGGGTCGGAATAAAATGAGGGGATCAGGCCCAGGCCGGCCCGGGGTTGAGGGTTTACCTGGGAATCCAAAAACCTACCGTTTTATGGGTTCTACCCTCTAATTAATGGGTCATAACCCTCTATTTTGTAGGGTTTGGGGTCACAGGTAGGGTTTAAGGCTTGCAGGGTTTGGGGTTTCCCGCCTTAGAGTTAGCGGTGGGGTTTGCCCACACAACTCGCAAGTTTGTTTGGTCTCACACTCGTGTGTAGAGGGAGGAGTACAGAGGGGCGGCTTTGGGGTATATTTTTTTGTGAAATTATAACACGTAGCCCTAATACTACGTTGATCTAGAGTTGTACAGGCTTCCACCAAGAATAACAGCTGGACGAAGGAAACCTTCGAAAGCTGGTCATTCACACACTTGCCCTCACCCCTGCAAAATGGAATCGGTTGATCTCTGTGTGTGCACTTTAAATAAGGCTCAATACAAATGTGAATAAACGTAAACAAGCAGGTAGATAAATAAGCAACTATGCATTTATATACAGACAGTCATAGATACATACATACACATAGAATATACAGAAGTCTGCTAGGGCCTGTTCTGTGAAAACAGCAACCTGCTCTCTGCGTATTATCCATCTCTGCATTTGCTTATGTAGTAGGTTCGTGTCCGTGTTCGTTTGTTTCTTTCTTCTAGTCCAGGCCCAGGCCCGGCCCAGGAAGTCCCGCTTTCGGTTTCAGGGTTTAGGTTTTCCGGCTTAGGGTTTAGGGCATAGGCAGCTGCTTCGGATTCGGGCATATAAGTATAAGCAGCGGTTGAGCGACGCTGCCGCGCGCGCAGGTGCCGTCTTTGCAAGGAAC